TAGTCCTAGGGACTCTCATTAGTAACTAACACCCTTTCCAGATGATGCTGATGCCAGGCTGGATCCTCTCTGAGAGACCTCCCCATATGTCCTTTCCCCAGTACAGATAGATGCTCAACACTTGATAGGGGCTCATTAGACCTAGATTCCTGCTGCACAAGCCCTTGTGTGTCTGATTCAGGGGTCTTGTCCAAGGTCACTGAAAGACAGGAGAGGACACCTGAGAGCCCCGCTTATGCGTTATGTCAGGTATATCATCCTCCTATCTGCTGCCTCCCAGGGGCTTGCTCTACCCAGCTCTCAGCCCTCACTATCTTCTTCCCTGGAAGAACTCTAGTGTTCAGGAGAAAACACAGGGCAGGGGTCAGGAGACTAGGGCTCTTTCCTCCCTTCAGAGTCTGGCTGATTTAGGCCGTTAGGCAACTGGCTTATTCCCTGAAAGCCATTTTTCCCAATGGGAGGAAGGCTTTGAGTGGACTGTGGTGTGTGCAGGTTGAATGGGACATGTAGGGAACTAGCATAGCACACACTTGCTGAGCAGAGGCAGGAGCTGGGCATGGACAAGAAAGCCAAGCTCTTCCTGGTCCTGTCGGGGAGGGCTGAAAATCACTGTAGTTGTGAGCTCAATGTTACCATGGGCCATACCTGCCTTGCTTGTTGGCATCGTCGTGTGCTCCTCGTCTCTGTCTCTGAGGTCTGCTGTGGAAACAAAAAATAAAGATGTTCCAGAGACTGTCCAGTGACTCAGATCGTCAAAGCACCCTGGCCTCTGTGCACACTTCAGATCTAGCCAGAATCAAATGGGGGCGGGGAGGGAAGAAGGCTCAACGTATTAATCCGGTCTGATGAGCATTTCCCAAGTACTCACAGCAACAGGGAACGAGGATTAATTATTTAGAAGGCCTGATTTACAGAGATCTGACTTAACCACACCCCCACTGCATGCATGTGCATATACACATTTACTTACACATTCATGCACAGGCACACAGTAATATACATACTCATACACACATATACATACTAATACACACCTGCACCCTCACACATTCATGCACTCACACACTTACACATTCACATCCATATACACACATACTCTTAAACACACATTCATGCACACTCTCAAACATGTACACACATGCACGCACACAGACACATGCATACACATACACATATTTGTGCATGTACACACACTCATACATGCACTCATGTGCACCCAGCCTTGAAACTGAGCCTGAAGAGTTAGTTGCACATTCTAACTTGGATCCACTATGAAACTGTGGCCAGTGAATTATGCCCTCCTGGGTGTACTTGCCTCTGGCTGGGGATTCGGCCAAATGGGCACAGAAGGGAGTGAAGCAGAGAGCGAGGCTGAAGCATCTATTGCTTATTTGTTCCTTCTACAGAGCTGGTAACTAGCTATGCCCTGTGCCTCTGTCTAGGGCAGACATGGCATCCTGTTGTTCCTCATCCTAGGGAACATCAACATGCCTGTTTTCATGCCTTGAAACCTGCCCACATCTCTGTGAGGAGTGCTTGTTTTTGATTGGTTAAGCCTTCTGACAGTAATGCTATTTCCCCAAGAGGACTCCACTGGTGACAGGAACAGGGATTATGTCATCCATAGCACAGTGAAGCAGGCTAGGCATGAGCTTGGCATGAGAGGGATGGGAATTGGGAAATATGGGTGGGGGAGGGGATCACCAAGGGCAGAGTCCTGTGCATGTCCAGCACAGGGCAGGGCTGGCCGCAGGGGACTCAGCACAGAGAAAGGACGAAGTGCCCTGCACATGAAAAAGAGCACATGAGAGAGACAAAATCGACTGAGCAAGGAGGTTGGAATAGAAAACGAGTTGTCCTGTTTGAACTTTACCCTCGGGCCAGCCAGCAATACAACCACTCACCAACCAACAGGATTGTAAAGCTCTGAGGTACCTTTGCAAAGCTTAGACTGTAGCCTAGAGGTCACAGAGAAAGGTCTCTGATGTCTTTTCCATTGTCCTTAATATTTGAAAGCAAAATTTCTTGTTAATATACAATATAACAAACTGGAAAGTAGAGCAAACATAAAGCAGATAAAAGTCACACAGAAAATGACTCTGGCATTTCTACACACATTCTTAACAGAGCCAGGGAAGGCGAGTAGATGGCTACTTGCTTAGGTTATGATATAACTAGCATGGAACATTTTCAATACTTTTTTACCAGCTACTGACATTCTGGCTATTAAAATTAAGCATAACATGAGACAAGAAATATAAACAACTGGCACAGCTTGAGTAATCACTTTTGGCTGGGCACTGTTCATATTTTATGAATATTTTATAATTAATTCATCAGTTCTCACAGAGCTTTGTCAGCAGACCTCCCCATTAGCTCCAATTCACATGTGTGATAACCAAGACAAATAATGGGAACTCAAGCAGCTTTTAAAGCCACAGAGCTAGGCACTGGGCTGGTGATCTGGATTCAGGGGTTGGAAGAAGTGTTGGCCACATTATCTTTCTGGATGATCTCCTTCTCTCTGCTAGACTTTGGGTTGGTCTCCACACTTATTTGTTTACTGTTCCAGCCAAGGTCTCTCACTGAACCTTGCATACTTGGCTGCCATGTCCAGCTTTTTATGTGGGGGCTAGAACTCTTTAACTGAGCCCTCTCCTAGGCTCAGGAATTAGGAGTGGAAGATGTGTGTCACTTCTGTCATGAGGAAGTTAGCAGGGGCCTTGTGAAAACGTGGAGCTCACCAAGTGTTGACTGAATGAACTCCCAGAGGATATGAAGAAGCATTGACATCCCCAAGATGGTGCCAGGTTGACAAATGTGGTGTATTTGAACTGAACAGGACATGGCACTTTTTGAATACTTGTCTTCATTTTGATGGAGTAAGAAGTCCTAGCCAGTGGGATGCCTGGGTCTGCTTTTTGTTCTATAGCAGTTTGTGTGGAGGGTGTTTTCCTTCAACAGTTCTCTAATTCCCCTATGGGGGTGGGGACTGTGAAGACAGAAGGCTGCACTTGTACAATTTGGTTCACTTTGCTGTCCATATTGCTTCAGAGAGGAGAGAGAGCTTTGTTTTGACAAGGAAACAAGGAGTGGCCAATGAAAGAAATCTTTTATGAAGCCCAGAACCTCCAATACTACCTGTAATTCTTTCTTTTCTTCACCACCCTCACCTGTATGTCTAACACTTACTCCCTTGGTAGAAGTGTATTTACTCAAAAGGGAGACTTTTTCTCAAGTGCATAAGGCCCAGAATAGGACAACCAGGGTCACAGCGCCCAGCTAGATCTGGCTGACCCTCCAATTTAAAATCCTGCTCCCTGTTCTGTGCTCTCCATCCCCACCACCTTACAAACTGATTCACATGGTTCTTGACAAGGGGCATCACGCTCTCCTTCCTGTGACTTGCCTTTCTGCTCTAGCCATCACACTGACACCGTGGAATGAAAAGCAGACACTCAATTTCACAGTGTAAACCTTTCACCTTCAATGTCAAATTGTAGTCAAACTTCTTCGTCAGAACCATTGACTCCCCAATAATGACACAGAGACTTATTATTAAGTATGAAAGCTTGACTGGTGGCTTAGGCTTGTTTCTAAATAGCTCTTAGAACTTAAACTTACACATTTCTTTTAATCTATGTTCTTTTACATAGATTGGTTCCTTTTACTTTGTAAAGCCCATGTTGCTTGTTCTCTGCATCCTGGTGTCTTGGCTATTGGCCATTCAGCTTTTTATTAAACCAGTCAGAGTGATACATCTTCATAGTGTACAAAAAGATTATTCTACAATATCAAATCCATAGAAGTTGGGCAATAGGCTCATAGTAACTTACTGCCCATTGCCAGCTCACTGAATTTCACAATAGTTGAAGTACATATTGGTCCATACAATCCTGACAACAACCAGGAAGTGACTGTGCTGGTTGGTGTTTTGTAAACTTGACACAGACTGAGAGTCATCTGGGAAGAGGAACTTCAACTGAGAAATGGCTCCATCAGACTGCCTGAAGGAAGTCTGTAGGGCATTTTCTTGGTTAATGATTGCTATGGGAGGGCTCAGCTCACTGTGGGTGATGTCACCCCTGGACAGGCTGAATAAGGGAGCAAGTTTAGGGACTGGAGGGTTTCTCAGCAGTTAAGAGTGCTTGTTACTCTTCTAGAGGACCTAGGCTGAGTTCCCAGCACCTACATGGTAGCTCACAAGCATCTATATCCTCCAGCCTCAGCAAGCCTCAGGCACACATGTGGTACTCATATATGCATGTAGGCAAAACATTCATACTTATGAAATAATACAACAAACTTTACATTTTTAAAAAACAAAATCTGAGCAAGCTATGAGGAGCAAGCCAGCATGCAATGTCCTCCATGGTCTCAGCTTCAGTTCCTGCCAGGATTTCCCTTCATAATAGACTGTAAGATGAAAGAAACATTTCTCCAAGTTTCTTTTGGTCATTTATCACAGTAACAGAAAGCAAAGCAAGACAGTGATAGATGATCCATTCTGCTGTACAGAAGAAACAGACTGGACGCTGCCAAATGACTCTTCCAAGGTCTTTGGTAAGTTCGTAGCTTTGCCAAGTCTCAAATCCAGCCCTTCTTATGATTTGGAGACTCTCCATCCATTTGGAGGTTGAGATTGATTCCTATTGCCTAGGACAATTACACCTGCATCATGCTAAACAGGGGCTCCTCAAGGACAGCCAAGGCTCTATCATGCCTGCAGGCATGTGGACTCTAGCTAAGACAATAAATGTTGTGGCGTCCACACCATGACTAAGCCAGAGTATTGGGTGAAAGCCTAAAAAACCAAGCCGTCCAGTTGCTTGTGCTAAGAGAATGTGTGTGCAACACAATGGAAAAACCCCAGGTGTAAGAGCTAGTGTTTTTGATGCCAGTGGGGCAAGGCCCTGTCTGTAATCCAGGACTAGAAAACAGGATGCAACTGTGGTTTTCAACTCACAGAGACCCTGTGGGGACTGGGGCCCAACATCTCTTCCAACAAATGCATTCTGGAGGAGGGAGCCGGTGCTGAGACAGTTGTTTTATTCATGTGCCTAGAGAAGCTTTGTGAGAAGGTGACAGTTAAAGAGACATAATGTGGATGAGAGGACATATGGTATTCAGGCAAAGGCACAGAGTGGACAAAGGCCATGAGGTGGGGAGTACTCATTATTCTGAAGGAACAGCCAGTGGGCCAGCCTGATCATACTGGGGCAGAACACAGAGCAGGGGCCAAACATCTGGGTTACTCCATGACTCTATCAGGTCAACCAAGCCCCTTCCCTGGCCCCTAGTTGGGGTGTCTGGCTACCAAGGTAGCTATTGAGCATTGGTCTTGGGTACAGTTCCTGGAAGGAGTGATGTAGGGCAAAAAGAACAAGACCTTGAACCCCAGTTTTTCTGACCTGACAAGTGTCTGCTTAGCTGTGAGGGGACTGGGAACTTGTACAGATGTGGAATCTATAATCCCAACACTCAGGAGGTCAAGGCAGGCGGGTTGGTGTGAGTGCAAGCTCGGCCTGAGCTGCATAGAAAGATCTTGTCTCTGTCCCCTTCTCCCACACAAATAAAAGAAGGAATGAATTGGGATTCAGGGCATCACTGAGGGTGTTGGCATCTGTTGTAGGAGTATTGCTGGAGGTGAGAGGCACTTGAAGCTCTCTGTCTGCTGTCTGAGGCCATGTTGGAAGGGT